GAAGAAGATCCGAAATAGTTGCATAATTGTTTTTTGATTTTCTTTATTTATAATATATATCACCGAATTAACACCACGTGATTTCCAAATAAGTTCTGATTACTTAAAAGTTTAGTCGATCAACAAAACTTCAAACAAATCCCCACTCTCTTGAAATGGATTCGAGAATTTTTTATTTTTGGTGTCACCTCGAAAAGATGCATAAAAAAAATTTTTTTAACATTTGCTCGTTTTTTTTTTTTTTTTTTTATTGAATATTTGGTAAAGCCTTTTTTTTTCACAAGTCAAAAAAAAAAATGAATTCTGTACAGCAAGTTGACGAACTTGTCAAAGAATATTTGCTGGTAAATTCTTAATTCCCAGAAAACACGTTTGGTTATTTTCTGATATTATTAACCTAAATTTCAATATTTAGTTCAGAGGATTCTCAAATACTTTTCGCGCATTTGAACAAGAATGTCGAAACGATAAAGACAAAGGTTTTCAGGTATGTAATTTTATAAGTGCATGTAACCATTATCAAAGTGCATATCAATAATATATCAAAAAAATATTTAGGCCGATAAAATCATTGAAGAATTAAATTCTTATATTGCATCCAGTGATATTAATGGATTACTGGATTATTGGAAATATCTTGATTTAAGATATTTTTCTCGTCTAGATGCAAGATTTTTTGGAAGTGTAAAAAAATTTGAAACTAGTTTATTAAGAAATTATCTTGTTTATGGTAAAAAGATATTGAAATATTTGATGAGATTAATTTTATGTTGAATTTTTTTTTTAATATTATTTTTTATTATTATTATTATTATTTTCTGTAGCAACGCAACAAAAGCGAAGAGATAAGGTGATTGAATTTTTTGATACTTTTGGAACAGAATTAAATGGAAATCCTGAATGGTCAAAATGGTTTGGTGAGAACTTTAAATACGATATGTGATTGTTTATCTAGAATAAGTTATTAAAAAAATTTTTTTTAAAAAAAAAAAGGATTGCCATTCTCAAAAAATCCAGCTACAGACCCAAGCTTTGAAACATTTTTCACAAAACAATGGTTAGATAAATTCACGGTGTCTCTTCATAATTTTTTAAATACGATATTTCAACATATGCGTATCCTTTTCAATGATGTATTATATATATTTTTATAACATTTGATATTTATTATCTTTTAATTCAAATGATATTAAAATTTAGCACTACCAAGTTTATTATGTTTCAATCTTGATCGATTACGTCGAAGAGCACTTCAAAATGAAATTGATTCTCTCAAAACAGAATTAGAGAATGGTGACACAGAGATTATATCGCTTAAGCAAAAAGTTGGTATTAATAGATATATAAATATATTTTTTAATTTATATTTACTTTTACTTGTTACTTGAGATATCAAAAATTCTTAATATAACTCCAATGTCTTTAACAATAAAGCATTCGCATTTGCATACTGGGTAATTTGATTATTTTAGGTTGCTCAATGCGATTTAGCAGGAAGTCGACGGCAAAGTTGTGATAATTTACGCGAGAAAAATGAGAAAGTTTCGTGAGTATAATGAAATACTTTTAATAAAGATTCTTGCAAGAGCTAACTTTAATGAATTTATTAGAAACCATCAATATGTACCTCGTTTTACTTTAAATACGAGTGGTAAATGAAATCATTATTTTAAATAATTTATTTACACTTTTCAATATAAATTAATATAGTTTTACCTTCTATTTTTACTATAATAAAAATATTGCATTATGAAGAAGTTAATTTGTCTTCAAGCTTATCACTTTCAAGATCTACAACGCTGAGTGGGAAGCACGAAACGGGGTCAGATCAAAATGGCGTAAAGACTCCAACGGATGAGCGAAGCATGACACCTATATCAGAATATGATACGGATGAACTTGAATTAAGGAATGGACATGCAATTGCAAATCCCTTTACTGTCACGAGTCAGGTAATAAATATGTGATTATATTTATACTCATAAATCAAATACGTTAATGCATTTATTTTACTTAGGAATTGTTCTTGGAGAATACATCAGGAATATCGGTAGCAAAATTTTCACATCAGGGTGATTTAATTGCAAGTTGTGATGTGGATAATGTTATTAGGTATTAAGTTAAATGCTTTGTTCTCGTATAAAAAAGATAACTCATTTTGTAATTTCTTGTTGAAATATAATTATAGAATATGGAGTTATACGGGAACATCATCTACATTGAAGCTTAGTAATCAAAATTCTAATATATTAAGTTTAGAATGGGAAGCGAGATCAGACAAACTTGTAAGAAATATGGAGATGAATAAATAAGTTTTTTTTTTTTTTAAAAAAAAAAATGTTATATATAATATATATTTTCATTAGTTATTATATGGTACGGACGAACGACTGGTTAAAGTTTATAATAAAGAAAGCAGGTCAATTGTTCATGAATTCCAAATGGACGATCGATTTCCGAGGTATTTATTATGTTAACAGTATGAAAATTACGAGACTTCAATTTCACTTTAGTAATTTTTTTTTCTTAGGGTAAACCAGATAAGCTGTTCACCAGTGGAATCGTTATTTGCATGTTCAGGGTCACCAAGATCAATAGATGATGCTTGCATCAAAAGTGTAACAGGATCTTTAATTACTTGGAATTTAAAAACAATGACAATACAAGATACATTTAGGTTTGAAGCCTCATCAAATTCACCATCTTCGTTACCTCTATCACCAATAGAAACCATTAAATTTAATCATAATGGTCAAATGTTGGTAACTGGAGATAAATCTGGTAGTATAAGAATATTTGGTAAATTGATGAATGATAAATTTAATTTTTATTTTTATTTTATTTTTTTTTAATAATAATATAATAAATAATAAATAATAATGATACAATTTTTTAATAGATATTCGAACATTAGCACCAATCATGAAATGGAATATTTCTTCTACAAGTAAAAGTGGAAATGGCGTTATTTGTTCATCTCTATATAGTTTCGACGAGAACTCTATATATGTAGTTGAGGATTCAGGAGAGGTTAGTTACATTTCCTAAAAGAACATTGCAATTTCTTTGTATTAATTGAAATTTATTAAAATACTTTATTATAAAGTTATCACAATGGTCAGTTCATAAACCTGGATTGGCTATATCACAATCTAAACTACAAGGGTTTCCACCAACAATACCAACAACTTTAATTAATTTCACTCCTACATCAACCAAAACATTTCGTAAACGTGCAACATCAACGTCATCAGTTCGTTCAACGAAATCTACAAGATCAACATCTTCAATACCTTCAATTGTGATTGGCACTGAAACTATATCACATTATACACCGACTTCACGCGTTCCTATGGTAGCATTTAGCGGCGATACTGATTATTTAGTATGCGTTGGTGGTAATGACGGAACTCAGGGAGTTATATATCAGGTAATTAATTACAAAAAAAAAAATTATTTGGTCGTTTTTTTTTCTTTTTTCGGAAAGAAAAGTATGCTAGCTTCTAAATTAATTAATTTATTCTCATTTTTTTTTGTAAAAAAAAAGACATCTAATGGAGATCGAGTTCAAGTATTGGAATCACAAAAACAATATTTAACATCCGTTGATTGGACAAATTCGACCGGAAATACTATATTAACTGCTGCAATAGATGGAACTGTTAGAGTAACTAAAATGGAACCTTCAACTTCTCATAATGTTTTATAAATAACGTAGGTAGGTTTAAGTGGGGGTAATGTAATTTATAAACGTTAGAAATTTTGATTATTTTTTATTTTTATAGCATTAGTATTTGTATTACTTTATTTATTTATAAACATTTTATTCGCCTTATTAAAAAATTTTGGTGATATAAATATGAATATGTGATAAGATACCATATAAATGAAAAAAAAACATCAAATTAGCGGCATGTCCTACCTTTGGTTTTATTTAGAACTTACATTCTTTCTCGTAGCCTAAATAATTTTAATGTACTGTATTTAAATTTAAATTGATGCATCCCTTTATCATGTAAGTTCGTAAAAAAAAAAATCTTATTCTAATGAATCATTTGATGATTATTTTTATTTTTATTTTTTTCCAAATTCATTGACTTGAAAATTCGTTTAAGTCACTTGGATTGTAAGGATCGAATCTGGGCGGTTTGCTATTAAATAAAAAAAAAACTAGATATATATAAACGAGTGATTTTTCCAATGGTATTTATACGTTTTGTAAAATAACTTTAGTCACGTGACATAAGTCTAAAAAAAAATTCTTTTTCGTTCGTGTGAATCGTTTCTATCACTTACTGTAATGAAAAGTTGAGAGGCTGGTAATTTTCCCCAACCTATTAACTCTTAACCTAACGTATCTTCAAGAATAAGTATCTTCTTTCCAAATCCAAAGGAAGCTACTTTTTCCCCTAATCTTTTAACGCTAACTACCTTAGGTATGTGTCTCTGCTCACCGAAACCGCAGCGAATATCCTACATGACACGCCTGTTGTTACATTTAAGAGCGATATATCACAACTCCAATTATTGATACTAGCTGGTTGGAAAAGTTTTGTTCCGTCTTTCTTTAATTGAGATACTGTATATTTAATATTTAATATATGGGACCTTTGCAATAGAAAAGGGGAAACTACCGAAAAAATAAAAAATGAGTTAATGCTAAATTCGAATATATTTTTGGCCTGAAAATCATATTTGGTATAATTGTTTTTTCCCGGCAGTTTCACCTCTTTCTATTGTAAAGGCCCCATATTATTTTATTTACTCTGCTTTATAAGAAAAAATGTAGCATTTACTGCGCCATAAAGAAAATTGGATGTAATAAGACCAGCGAAAAAAAAAGATAATCCATCATAAACTTTCATTAACATAAAATCCATGTAGTGAAATCTTTAATTGCATATATTAAGTACAAAAAATTGAGTTCAATAGTCGATAAATTATTTATCTGAAAACCTTTTTTTTTTTATAAATAAATAAATTTAATAACCAAAATTATTATGAATATTATGATATTAAAGGACGCTTTTGCGTTATTTATCTTATTTCAATTATTTCAATTATCATCCGTAAATTGTCAAAAGCAACGATATCTGCACACTGCTACTTTTATTGATAATAAGTTATATATTTTAGGTGGAAACATAGTCGATAAATCCACAAGTCTTGAAGTCGGCAGAGAATTTTTTTATCTCGATTGTTCACTTCCAATTAATACTCAAAAACCATTATGGCAAGACCTAACAAGTGTTAATATCATTCCAACACATGCTTTTGCAGCAACTGTCAAAGGCGGTGCAAATAATAATACATTAATCTTTTATGGAGGAAGAAATTTAACTAATGCAGAAAATATGGCCCTAGTTTATATGTTTGACACACAAACTAGTTCATGGTATATTCCATCAATATCTGGAGTATCTTTTACCAAAAGAAGAAGTTTATCTGCTTTTATTGATTATAATAAAAAAATGTACTTGTTCGGTGGATGGTTGATAGGAGGTGACTTTGTAAATGATATGCTTATTTTAGATACTGTAAATTTAACTTGGGGAAAAGGAAGTTCACTAAATGCACCTCTTCCAAGGATTAATTATGGTGCAGTTCTTTTACCTAGCCAAGATATTCTTTATTTAGGTAAGTGATTAATTCTTGTAATGTTGTAATCATTCGATCTTATTTTAATACAAATTTTTTAGGCGGAGAGGAATTTAAAAATAAATATTTACCATTACCATTAAATGAGGTGAACTATTAAATTATTTATAAATCTTGTGATAAACGATGAATTGATTAAATTTTATTTTCATAGGTTTATTTGTATAATACTATTAATGATCAATGGAGTATAAGAGCTGATTTCTTATTTGCTAAATAAATGTACTGATTATTAATAAAATCCAAGCAAACTTTTGGACCAATACCTTCCGATAGATATGGTCTTACTGCTGTTCTTGGTAAGTTAAAAATAAATGCTGCTTTTGTAATAACAAATTTCTCAATTTTTTTTTCTTTTATAAAATGTAGGATTGGACGGTCAGCAAGTAATAATGTTTGGAGGATGGAATGAAAATAATATTAGTACAGCAGATTCACTTTATACCTTAAATTTAAGCACATTTAGATGGCAGATTCCAAATGTTTCTGGAAAACTTCCAAACTCTCGATATTATCATAGAGCAAATGTAATTGGAAAATATATGGTTATATCATTTGGTAATTATTATATCTACTTTAATTAAAATTTATTAATTAAGTTTTAAAATTAATCATTTATTACTTTAATTGAATAGGATTTAATTTTAACCCAGATGTGGAAAATGATATATTATTACTTGATATTAGTAATAACGAAGAGTATAAATGGACTACGGCCTTTGATCCTTCGCTTCCTTCATCATTACCATCACCATCACCATCATCACTTTCATCACCACAATCATCACCATCAACGACAACGATACAATCTGTACCAGTTATGATCGGCATAATCGTTGGATCTTTATTTTGTGGTAGTTTATTAACAATTGGGCTTTTCCTTTTATACAAAAGCAAAAGAAACCAACATAAACAAGATCAAAATGGTACAGAATTAAGAATTCCTGGAGAAAACATGAACACAGAAAGGGTGTCATTTTATGCTGCAACTAATAGAATTTAAATAATGGAAACAAAAGTTATATAGCAGATTGGAAAATCCTTTTAATAATACGAAAATTCACCTGCGCTACTATCAGGGAGACCTATTACGATAATAATTATGCGCGTTAAATATTAAAATAATTGTAGTACTTGTCTTTAGTAAATTTTATAATCTAATTACCAATACATAATTCAATGCTTGGACTTGGATTATCTCTATAATAAATGGTTTCTCGTTCCAAAATCTCCTTTGTAAAATCAATTAAGCGACTTGTATGATATGCTCGTGGATGAGATTCTCTAATATCATTTATAATTAGATCATTAGCACATCGTTGTGCTAAAGATTTATCTGCGTTCCAAAATTCTAAAACATAATTTTTCGCTTGTTCATTGTCAATCTCATTAATTATTTCATCAATATTCTCTACAACCTTTGTTTTATCAATATATTGTTCAACTTCCCAAGAGTTTGTAGAATCAATATAACTAGAATTGAAATACCAATTGAAAATAAACCTTCGAACTTCGATCGCGGTTGGCCTTTTTAATGGGTTAGAATCCCAACATCTTTTCATTAAATCGGCATAGCATATCGGTGTGCCATCGATAATTTTAGGTCGATCATCTTGACAAATATTTAAGCAAAGTTGAAAATCATGTTCTTGATTATTAAATGGTGGGACTCCTGACGTGAGTTCCCACATAATCATAGAATAACTATATATATCGCTAGCCGAAGTGTAAGGTTGACCCCTTAATACTTCGGGTGCTATAAACGGCAATACCCCATAAACATTACTACTATTTATAAAAAAATTACATAATCCTAAATCACTGATAAAATTTCTAGTTCTATTATTTTTAAGGCTGAGATTACTATGCATTAAGATATTACCATCATGAAGGTCACAATGGATAAGATTTAATTTATGTATTTCATTAAGCCCCATTGCGAGATAAGCCAAGAACCTTAGTTTAGTATACCAGTTAATTTTGGGTATGTTGGGTAAATAATTCCTTAAACTTCCTCCGTTTGCATATTCCATCACGATCAGATAATCCGAACTTTCCGGATCTTGAGTGAATCCATATAATGAGATAAAAGCGGTCGTTGTTTTGTAACAATTGTAATGGCATTTCCACTATAAATAGAAGATTATTAAACCAAAAAGAGCTTACGAGAAATAATTAAGTTTCAAGTTTCGATAATAAAGACAAACGGATTCATTCCAAATGTTTATTACCTCATTTAAAAAATCATTATTAAATTTTAAGGACTTATCAAGTCTCTTCAAAGCTACTTCATAACCATACGAATCGGTATCAACAATTATGTTGACCAACCTATTCCAATATTGATGATCATTATTCCGATTTCTAATGGGTCCATCAATCCAAACCGATTTATATATAGTGCTAAATCCACCTTTGGCAAGTTCCTCGACATTTGTCAGTCTGTTATATGGTATCCATTCTAGTGCTTCAAATTTCTTTTGAGATTCAATTTGAGTCTCTTGAATGAATTTATCGATAAACCCATTTCCGCTGGTCCAGTTTGGAAATTCCCGTTTAAAGTACGTGGCGTTACAATTTTGGCACCATTCGTAATTTGTATTCGGTTTATTACAAACGGGACACAATCCAAATTCATTCAATTCATTCGAATTATTATTTTCGTTGGATCCTAATTCCATATTTTCTCTATAATGGAGCCAAAAGAAAATTGTCAATTTCATTTTTTTTTTTTTTTCATTTTATTTATTTATTTATTTATTTTAAAAACATGGAAGCTGAAATAATTCGAAATTAAAATTTTTTATTTTCTTAATTTGTATGAGCATATGATTGTAAAAAAGCCAAAAAGCCAAAAATCCAATTTTAGTCGTTTTTTTATGTTGATCAATGAATTCTTTCGTTCTATCGAATTTATAAGTTCGTTTCATCCGGTTTATTTCATTTAAAAGTCTTGAAATAATTTTATTTTTATTAATGAAAGCAAATTGACATGATATTTACAAATAAAATTCCAGATGGAAGAAACAATGAGGTAACAGGAGCCAATATACCACCTGCACTAACACAATACGTTTTGGATCAGTTAGTTCAAATCTAGCTTCTGGGCAGGATTAGTAAGATAAAAATAAGCTGCTAAAGCGTCGCAAAGTGCTGCAGGAAATTGATGTTTTGGTACAAGACTATAATCAACTGCTAAATACCAAATTAGAAAAGTTAGTTGCATAACTTTTTTTTTCTCTAAATTGTGATCAAAGAAATAAGAAGTGATTAAGCAATACTTACAAAAAACTTGACATTCAGCCTTTTCATTTAATGGATCCCGTAAAATATCATTTCACCAACGATTTCGCCCGAAAATCATTAATTTTAAATTTTCGATAAATTTCATTTGATATTTTTATTCATTATATTATTAGCCTATTTAATATATAATATTAATAAAGTGTATAAAATTGAATAAAAAACTAAACTTTGCTACAAACTATCTAAAATGAAAGATTATGAGCTGCGCGCTATGGCATCATATGATCGCTTACAGCTAAATTGATAAAAAATCCATAAAAACAAATTATCATCAATTATTATATTAAATTCAATATTATTAATTTATTACTTTAAAATAAACCGTCGGTGATATGAATATGTCGGTGATATGATCGTGACTGTAAATGACGTCGGAATGATTGTCGGTGAAATAAATGCGTCCCAAAATATCCGCCTCCAAAAAAAAAGCGAGGCCCTTCCTTTAACTTTTAATTTTTCTGTCATCACCCTCTTCTTAACTTTGATCTACTCCCCACATAACCTCCATATCGTACTTTTCAATCCAAATATTTTAATCCTATATCTTTCATCCCGTGAACTTTTCAAATTCAAGATGTCACAATCATTTTCGCCATAATATTATGGAGGTTTAGAATTCATTTAACTTTAATGGTGAAAAACCTTAGAAGAAGCAAAGCACTACATTTTTGATGAGGTCATACCAATATGTGGGAACGATATATCAAAAAAAAAAAAAAAAAATGAATATATTATGTATTTAACCACATCACCAGGAAAGTATCGTTATGTAGTCGATTTTGCAGTATATTTTACAGAATTAAAGTTACTTTTTTTTTTTCTTTTTTCTCCTTACTGTACTATACATTTTATTAGTATTTATATTTATATAATGATTAGTCAAGGTTGCCACAAAGAAACTCTTGACGAAATATTGTTTTTAATGCCAAAAACCCCGAAATCAATGTATTCAAATTGGTCAAAGAGAAATTTCCGATCACCCTTTTATTGAATGATATGATTTGCCGTTCAAAATCAAAATCCCGAAGGGACCGAAGTCATAATCCCGAATGATCATAATAATATCATAATTTAAGGTTATAATTTGCTAATTGCAATATTCGATTTGTATCGCACGACATTACTAAATTCTTATTAATGATTTTTAAACTTTCTTTCGATGAGATAACAGATAATGCATTTTTTTTATGATTTAACAATTCTCATCCATTTTTTATCGATGGTTGGCAAAAATATTTTAAAAAGTGGTCAAGATAAAGATTTTTTTTGCTCAAAAAAATAACTTTTTTAAACTCGTGATAGAACTCTTAATCTTTTTAATATTTCATAACAATAATTTTCGGATTATGATCATTGGGATTATGACTTCGGGATTATTACCTTTCTCTTCGGGATTTCGTACCAAACCCTTTAATACATCTTAAAGGGCCAGTTTATTCATAAAAGTATTTAATGTGATTTATTAGTAAAAGGTTCCGAAATTAGATATTCTAATCATTTCGGAGCCGGCGACCTTAGGTCGCCAAATAACATTAAAAATTATTGACTTTTAACATAAAATATCTATCAGAAAAAAAAATATAAGTTTTCCATTTATAATGGTTGAAGAAATAGAGAATCATAATAATAAAAGAATTTTTAAGTAACATGGAATACATGGAATAGGATAAATAAAACATTCTGGTGTAAATAGATAAAATTACCATAGCAATATATTCAAAAAATACGTTAATAGCGTCTAAAAATTTTTTATTAAAAAAATGACGCCTTTGAAATAAATTGTAATGCTGCGGGATTTAAGATCTGCTTTTGATTTTCCTTCTTTTTTTCTGAAGAAATGCTTAACCAAATATAAGTGAATATTTAATTTGAGATATAATTGGAAATTCCATAAAGAAATGCCAAAGATAAGTAAGTAACTCAAAGTTACAAAATCTTCGCTTAAATCGTCAAAACGATATAAACAACAACAATTCTCCAGACTTTATAATATCAGGCCTTAGGGCCGAAAATACCTCCACCAGATACTGATTTTATTAAACGTGTGTTGGAAAATTCTCGTAAGGAAAAAAACAAGAAAAAGACCCTCAAAGACCTCCAAATGCATTTTTCTTATTTCGTAACGCGTTGCATTCTCATTTATTCGCTAATAATTTAAAAGTACCTCAAGTATTGTAAATGCTGCGGCCGGAATTATGGAACAATGCTGCGGTGCATATCAAAAATATCAGACCTTATTTATTTTTTTTTATCTGTTTTATTACTTATATTTGTTTAATTTATTATTTCTATTATATTAGTTTTATTTGTTAAATTTATTATGTCTGCTAGTAAATTGAAACAAGTCGTAAAAATTTCTCTCAAAGATTTAATTATCTAGTTTGTGATGATAATTTTAAAGAAAAGGCTTGTAGAATTCCTAATTAATAAAGTTGTTTATTTTACCCTTGCAATATTCTTCGTGTCTTCATAAAGGTTTTGATGCGATAACTAACTACACTAGCGAATCTTAATAATTTAATACTACATAAATTATACATCGGGCAAACTAAATAAAAAGATAATAAGTGTTTGTTGACTTGATCGGGCCAACAGCGGTTCCACATAATATGACCAGAACCATATCATTAATATCATTATAACTTTGAATGATCTTTTTGAAATACTGTATACAACTAAATAACTTTGCATGGCTTGAAGGTGTCCAAAAAACTCCTTTTGCTTATAACATCCGGTAGTTCTATCACAACAGGATTTATTAACGTCTTTTAATATTCATAAGGAATTGTTGGGATTAAGCGATATAATGGTCTATAATAGCAAAACTAAATAAAAATTATTTCTTCCATTTCCTCATATATGTCAAAATTTCTATGAAAGTATACGCGCCTTTTGCGTCCAATTATTGATATATTTAATATGAAGAAAAAATCCCATCGTCATGACTTCAAAGCTCAATATGATCGTTTTATGCGTATTTGGTGTAACATACTTTTTAAGATATGTAAGGTAAGGCCTCTCAAATTTAATTGTTTGTTTATCATTTTATTTAAACAAAAAAAATGGGGGGGGGGGGGGGGGGGGGGGAAAAAAAAAAAAAAAAAAAAAAAAAAAAAAAAAAAATTTTATTTAAAAAAAATTATTTTAAAATAATAAAAAAATTAAAAAATGTTTT